CCACTAGTATTTTTTATAGCACTGCGCCACTAATGTGATGTTTGGTTCGCCACTAGTATGAATATTAAGAATTATATTTTTTATTTTCTGATATTTGCACAGGTTACAAAATATATTACTGCACAGAATATAGACAGCACAACCTATAAACAGCAGATTCATCAAATACAATAGAAGATTAGTCTCCGAATACAATTCATCATATTAGTCTCCAAATTCAAAAGACCGAACAAAGTTAGAACATTACAAGTCTCGAGACCGCGAGTAGCGAGTTTGTCGAAAGTAATACTGCATTCGGAGATAATTGAGAGATGTGTCCTCTCTTATCTCTGTGCTACTGCTACTAATATGCCTAAACATGACTTAGATTGAACTGAGGCAACATGTGGTGCATGTCGAAAGTAATACTAATCCTAACTTGATTAAGTTTGTATTGTACTACTTTCGACATGCACCACATGCATGTTGCCTTCACTTTAATCCAATCCATATTCATTTCACCCACAGATATATAATAACTCTTCATGCCCGCATCATGCATCATCATAATAACAAGTCCTACTAATCATCATCATACAACTTTTACTCGTTATTAATAACAAGTCATACGATCATCATCCTCATAGTCATCGAACCAACCCTACTTAATTGTTCTTAGCACATGATCATCAGTATTAGGTAGGACCTAAATACCATCTTCATGGTAAAATAGCATAAAACAAAATAGACCCTGACTCTCCATTATGGAGAATGGAGATCATCATGTCTCCAATTCTTACGCATCGCTTTCTTTTGCTTCCAAGAACCTCCTTACGATTGTCCATACATTTTTTCCATCCTTTGACTTGCATGTCTCCATTTCTTTTAGGAATCTGGTATGGAAAATTGAGATTCGTAGGATGACCTGGCTGTATGTTCAAAACATTAAGGCTACCTTTCTGATACATCAAATGAGGCACACAATTCTCTGGGATTATCTGTTGAAAAACATAGTAATAACTTAATAGCTAGCAATGATGTACTAGTTTTAGAAGTATGCAAAAGATACACGAATGTCGTAATAGTAAAAATCTTACCAGGGTATCTCCAAGGTAGTTACCGTAGTTGAACACATGCACTAGTGACATGTATTGACCATAATGTTGAGGAGTTTGATTGTAGATACTGTAATTCTCAATGTCAGTACAAAATCCGACCAGATGATTTTTCTCCTTGTAAGTTAATTCGGAGCCATTGGTGTAGTGGGTTTTGTCTACCATCTCCCGCACATTCGTTGAAGAATGAAAATAAGCTGTCAATGAAATAAGTTGTCAACTATTTTAAAGTGAACAATATAAATTAGTTAATAACTAGCAAAAATGCCCGTGCGTTGCACCGGGTGCAAAATAAATAAATATATGCTTAAAGAGTTGAAAAAAATACCACTTAAACAACTTTGCAAGTAATCAAACAACCATAACATAACAACATTGTTCGAACAATTCATATTTTTAGGTATGTCGCATAGCTTTCTCAAAGAATGATCATGGTTGGTTGTCAATTAGTGCTCAGTGTTGAATAACAATGATACAACTAACCAACAAAAACGGACTTGCTACTTAAATTGGTTCATGGTTAAAAGAACAGAGCCCTTAGTTCTCAAATATAAAGATGGACATCAACACACAGGTCATGAGCCAATCCAAAGCATGGCTTGTAGAATTAATTAATAAAATGGAATATCTGTATATACAAAGGTCGCCTAGTGGAAATCTAAAAGATTATTAACAGTCTAACCATCAGAGGGGCCTAAAGAGGGGGGTTCGAACTAAGTTAATTAAAAAGGGGCTAAGAAGGAAAGCGGAAAGAAAGTACAACAAAAGAGAGCCCGAGCAGTGACATCTGTTCTTCGGAACAAACAGTTTCACCCTGTTCTTAGGAGCTCGAACTTGACATATAACAAGTGAATTACATAGCCACACGAGACTTTATTTATGCATTTTTATGGCATAAACAAATCTTCATAGACCCAATATCTGAACCATGCAACATTTCAATATAGCTTAATTTTCCTGAATAACTATTTTCAATAGAATTAGTTATGACATGCATACTTAGTTACTACACCCTTCTTATTCTTCATTGTAGATTCTCAGGAAGCCCACGAGGAAGTATTATCCCTGTCTCTTGCTCTATGCGTCTCTTCAACTCTATTAGAATTCAAATTTGGCCCTATTTTTCCGGAGATGGTTTTTCCTAGCAAATCCCTGCATAAACAAACATTCTTCAAAATCTAAGTATGGAATGCTTATTTGTTTAATTGGTAGAGAAAATCACTTCATAATCTCCTCTAGGCATTACAGCAAACACGTGGTACACAACAGAAATCAACATATGTACCTTAGCAAGAAAGGGTAATGCTTCATTGTCTACGCACTTGGCACCATTGTTTTGGGCACATGTGGCTCTTTGAAATATATCATCCTAAACATAACAATTTAGATACTAACATATTTGGTTGCTTAATACTTTGATACATGGAAAGAAGAATGTTTCATTTTGACACATTTAGTTCTGTTGTGGACCATGAAATAATATTGCAGCCACTAATTAAATCATGCAGTCAAATTGGTATGAAAGCATAATTATGAATCTTCCCATTAAAGATTAAAATGCGATATAATTCTAGGCTGACAACAATAAAAGAAGCAGTACAGATCAACCAAAATGCGAAATTCAACAGAAGAGTGCAAGTTTCAAGAATCTGGAAAGAGATTATGTAGTACAATATTTAAGGATCCTCTAGGACCTCCTGCAGGTAGAACTGTCATCTGCATCATCTACTAACTCTACTAAAAAATGAAGCTGCTCGTGTGTCAGCAGTTGTCACTGAATTTTTAGATGACCGGCAATAAAGTTTGCTGATTAATTTTGGACTACTAAGTTTAAGTTTTCCATGTGTGTAGGTGTAGCAGGTAACAGCTCTGAACGCTGAAAAAAAGAATAAAAATCAAATCCTTTCTCCATGCCCTCACAATGCCTATGAATTTCACATAGTGTTCGTTTAAACAACACACACATTGTCCATTCAAAAAGAGGTGGAATAAAATTAAATCTAAACCGAACTTGACAAATTTTTTAATTCAGAGCCTTTGTATAGCTGACAATGGATCATCGTATACAACAAGATCCAGTAAGTAATGCAAGAGCACACACATACATAAGAGTCAAAAAACTGATTAGAAGGCATGACCTACATGGATAGACTGAGGTCTCTGCAGTGCAAGGATTAAAAAATGGTAGCAACATGCCAAAGACAACGACAGTCAAGGATGGCATCTCCTTCTTCCATTTGGTGGTCCATGCTCTCTGCAATCCCGGAAGAAGAACATACCTTGAAAGGCTGAAATCAGGAGTAAAGAACATATCAAAAGGGTTCAGAAATAGAAAGCAGAAAATTCAAGAGTCAGTACAAAAACAAAATAGGTCTTTGTATCATAAACTCTGTATATCCAAATCACTAAGAATATCCTCTGCTCTACTACTCCTTCAACTTCGAGGACGCCTCGCATGCTGCGCCTCTTACTTCTAATAAACGCATGAACGAATCAGCATTTATGCGTTGAATAAAAAAGATCCCCACGAAACATACCAAAGGGCGATGTAGTGGGACTCAGATCCTGTTGCCCCACAGTATGGAAAAAGGAAGAAAGAAGTTTATTCTAACACGATTATTGGCCCCAATTGCCTCAACTTTGCGCACAAATTGTTCGAAGGAGTAATATGGGATCAAGTAAGAGTGCCAGTTTAGCGTCAAGCTTGATAAGATTGCAAAGGTCCTCCAGCTGGCATCAAGACAATAATTCAAATTTAGGAGGCCATCAAAAATCAGAATAAGTATAAGTGTGCAGTGAGCAACATCGGGCTACAGTCTCTACTGTTTATGAGACCCAAGTTTTATGAGAAGAAGGCAAATTAGAACTATAACACCTGCTTAACATCCTGAATATCATGTTGCCAACTTGTGAAATAAAGCTTTTGAACTAACATTAGCTACGTAGGTACATCTCCTGGATGTTGTTGAGACTGAGATAATGATGGTCATAAAAAAGAGAAGTGAGAACATTACTTCTTACTTTTTACTCATAAAGTTTGCAAAGTTTTAATGACGAGGAGGTACAAACATAGAGAAGTTCTATCATCCAAGAAGGTGCATGTACGTAAATTTTGCTCACATGTTCCAAGCAGTATTGAGCCACACGTCTGGTTCCAATCCTTAGAACAATTGGACTGCAATGCCTGCGGATTTTCACTTGATGAGATTCTGTTTTCTAAGATTAAATACAAACAAAAAAAGACATTCACCTCCAATTAAATTGATCGGGAGTTGCCTTGGTCTTCAAATTTAAAATGTAAAACATGAATATGTGTGTATGCTGCTTCGACAAATCTAGTTCAAGGGCTGTTGGTATGGTTCTTCCTATTAGGAAAATTGAACATAGAGGAGGAATCTGCAAACTTTATATTTCATCTTGCATTCTCTTTTTACATGCAGATAAAAAATGAAGTAAATACTTTTAAGCGATAAGTGTTACCTTGGATTTCTACTCGTAAATCTGGGCGTATTTCATGTAGCTAGCATTTTGAATGCGTGAGATTATATGTGGCTGTGCCTGCGAGCCTGTCAGTCAGAATTCAGAAGCCTGGGTCGTGAAAATGCACTGTTGATTGGGTGTGTACTAACTGCTGGAGCTAAAATGGTCGTAGATCTTCTTGTGCCTTAACTCGTCACATGCAGTCCTCCTGCATAGTTCGAAAAAAGAAATAATTCACAAAACAATACTGAGGAAGACATATAATGGTAAGATAAGAACATCTAGCTAGCCAGCGGCTGAAGGACTCATTCAGTTAACTGGCTTGTAATCATAACCCTGTCGCTCCCAAAATTATTCAGTACAGGGCCAAAATCACAATCGTCAGTCTCATGCAAATCCTTAATTTCCCATACCGTTGAACACTCATCAGGACTAAATAAATTATGAAAAAAATCAAGTAAACATAGTTACTTGCTAGTGCTTGCTGAACGGTTTGAGGCATCGGGCATGGGGAGGGAATCTCACCAGATGAGGAGGTCCTGCCGAAGGAGGGGATCCCACAGGTCTTCATGCCTCGATCCAGCCAGAAGGAGCAGCCGTCATGACAATGGCAGGGTCGCTCCCGCAACCTTGTAGCCTGCTAGAACAATGACAATAATGTTGATACACCAGATAAGAAGCGCAAGCCCTTGAGAGCAGTCTGCTTGCCAGAACAATTAATGAATTAACCTCTTGAAGTCGGACAAGCACGTTGACACACAAGTTAAGAAGCACAAACCTTAAGAGCGGTCTGCTTGCGCAAGATATCATTGGAGTTGAACATGACTGAGGTAATCCAAATCATTACGAAGAAACCTACACAATATAAACTCAATTGGAATGAGGGACTCGCCATCATCTTCTGACCAGCAACTCTCTGCAGTATTTGGATCGAACCAAACTCGCGTCACAAATTCAGGCGTATAGCCTGATGAGGGAAACCTCACGCTTCATAGAGAAGAAAGAGGTAGGTGCTGCACGCAGATTCGCGTACCTTGCAGGTGCTGGCGGATGAAGACGCCGAGGAGGAGCAGGGAGAAGGGCAGCGCGTGGTCCACCAACCTCGCCAGACGCTGCACCTCATAGCCCTGGTACGGCGAGTCCCCCCTCCCGCCGCCCGCGCCGGCCTCGAGGCCCCCCACGCCGCGGGGGCCTCCTCGTCCGTGAGCTGCTGCCCTCCCGCGTCCCCCGCCGGCGCCAGGCGCGTTGTCGGCCCCGGAGATCCGAATCGACCCCTTCCTGTCGGCCCCCGCGCTGGGGCCTGCCGCCTCCGGCCTGGGCCCGCAGGACGCCCGAGGAGTTCTTTGGGGGTGAGCTCCTCGCGCGGACACAAACGGGCGGAGCATGGGACGCCCCCCTCCCCCCAATGCCATGGCGTACCGGCCAGCCGTCATGCTCCAAGCCCCGGCCGCCTTCCTTCCAGATTCGCTGCCTACGCGCCATTCCCCACCGGATTCATCGAGATCCGACAGTTCCTCGTCGTCGGCAGTGGCAGGCCACGGGTCGCCGGCAGTGGAAGGCTACGCGTGTGGGGGCACTCGGGGTAGGGGTAGGCGCGCCAGCGGGGTGGGCGGCGGTGGCCAGCGGCGAGCGGTGAGGCAGGGTGGGGCGTGGCAGCAGGCGGCGACGCGCTGGAGGTGTCGGGGAGGCAGGATGGAGCGGTTGCTTGTTTTTTTTCTTTTATCTCACACGCAACGGTTTGGGTTACTAACATGAGGACTGTGGGTTGAACTGTCAAAAACTATAGGGACTCTTTTACAAAAGCGTCGTGACGGTGAACCCGGAGACTCAATGTGTGCTTTATTATTACGTAAAGATAAAGATTAACTATGTTTGAGAAACTCATATAGCGGTAGAACTGGAGGCGTATCAATAAGGACCCAAATGTCCATATTGTCTTGGTCGATGTCAGGATCACCAAGATCCATGATGACAAGCATACCCTCATCAAAACCATACATCTTCAAAATGCTTCCCAATTTTTGCAACCAAAATGGGTTACGCTCCTAGAATTATATATATTTACTTCAAAATCCACATCATGATGAGTCCTTAGGTGAATTTTCTTTGTTTCATAATAACTTTCATGGTCTTCAAAATCCATCCTCTCCAAGACATAATGTCTCGCATGGCATGGGATAAGCTATACTCGAATTGTAAAAGATGAAAATTACACGTTGAAATAGTTGAAGTCATGCTTAATTATGAAAAAAAACACTTGTCGTCGTTGTGTACCGTTTCAACTTCGAATGTCTCCTCGAGCTTAATGCTGAAGCGTCGATCATCGTCCAGGTGAGGCATGTCGCACAGACCTCGATCGTTGTGCCACCAGCCGCACTCCCCCGGGAGACTTTCATCGTCCGATGACGACATTTCCTATGTTCATAATTCAAAACTACATCATCTCTTGCGTACGATGACTTGTGCATTTTTAGCCAGGCCCAGTGGAGTTGGCCTAAAAACATTTCTTTCTTTAAGCCTGCTACATCCATATTAGGGTTTATCGATGACGAGCAACTAACATTAGTAGGTCATCCTACCAGATTAGGGTTTATCGATGACGAGCAACTGACATTAGTAATAACTATGAGTTGATATCACACTTCTATATGTATAACACAAGAGGCAGTTGATCCTACTTAATTAAGTATTAAGATACCCGGCCCATGCATTAATCGCAAGTACCCCATGTTTTCTATTTTTAGCAAAGTCATGCTAAAATTCGCGGAAAATTTCAGCATGACATTTGCTGAAAATAGGACATATGGAGTACTCGAATTTGCCGGAACGGAAGTTAATCGACATTCCGGCAAACTCAAGGGCCTCTCGGGGTACCTGCAAAATCATCACGACACGATGGTCAGAGACAAAACCCAGCAAACTAGCAAAGTTACTGACGTGTTTACAAAAATTGTTTTCTGTAAAAGATGATCATCATCTTTACAAGTCTTTCTCAATGTGATCACAGAAACAAAGCAGCACCACAATGTGCCTCTACTTTCATATGGATGAAAAGGCCACAGACCATATGGTCCTCTGCTTTCTTATGGACAAAATAAAAGTTCACACATATAAATGGAAATGAAAAAGGATAGTAGGAAATGAAAAAGAATTATGCTCAAAGAACAATGGTAACATGAAAGATGATAAGTATATTTGAAACAAGAAAACAAGACATGCATAGGCTATATTTGAAACAAGATATTCTGCCAATCTTTGTTAACTGAAGCTAAGATGATAAGTATATCTAGAGTGCATTAGCTATGGTTCTTATCTAGCTAAAATAAAAGGAGAAAATTGCTTATTTACACCTCACAAATATTTTGGCTTGTTGATCTAGGTAGAAGGCATTTTTATCATCGGTGCTAGTCAGATCTGAACCTTACATCAAATACACTTCTCAATGTTCACTGAAATTTAGAGAATAGATTGAGAGAGATAGCAGCAGCAAGAAGTTGAGGTTCACACTCTGAAGAGGAACAACAGGGGTGCAAGGAGATGGAGTAGAAGCAGTAGAGAGCGGCAGCAAGCAGTAGAGAGCAGCGGCGCACCATCTCCAAAAAGAGACACCTCTCAGCATCATCATCAACATCCAAGGAGGAGCTGCATGACACCATCTCCAAAAAGAGACCACCACAAAGCCAGAATGCTTTGCTTTCTTAATCTTCTTCTCCTTTTAACACAACCGTAAAGCTACCACCACCTAAATAAGAAACACCTCCTTGGATATGCTAAAACCACAAAATGATCACGGCAGTGTGTTTGTGGAATCCGTGCATGTGCCAAGATATGCTAAAACTTAGCTCAGCAAACAACAGAAAGTAACTTAGCCCAAGAACAAGCTTTGTGAAAACCAATAAGTCACACATATAAAATCACCTTTGTGAAAACAGTCCACACCAGAACAGAGTCCACTCACATAAGTCACACATTATGTCGATTCAACAACTACTACCCTTTACACTAGCATTGATAGAGCCCGATCAGTCAAAAATTACATAAAAACCATCGTAAAAGAACTTGTGTATAGAAAAATCTCAAAAATTAAACAACTAGTAAATGATGCATGTTTTATGAACCCTGAACATGTACATTGGGAACTATTAAAAAAACTGAGAAAACATTATGCATGCTCTCTGAACATGCACATTGAAGAATGAAAAACAACTATCTGGTGAGGGCACTTTTGCTCTGAATTCATTGAAGAATGACAAACAACTATCTGGCCATTAGCAGCGGCACTAGCTAGGGGCAGCAGGCAGCACTAGCAAAGAAGTAGCGGCGCAACAAGCAAGAGCAGCAGCAGTGCAAGAGCGGCGGCGACGGCAAGAGCAGCATGAAGCAAAAGCAGCAGCAGCAGCGACGCTATAGGCAGAAGCAGTAGCAGGCGAGCAGTAGAAGCAGAGTAGCAGCAACGGGCGTGCGCGAGGCGCAACCAGGAGAGGGCGTGAGCGGCTGCGGGCGACGACAAGCACGTGGGGGCACGGTGTAGCAGCGGCAGCAAGTCAACGGTGACCTCGAGGATGGCAAACGACGACGAATCGAGGCAAAGTAAAGGGGGGTCCGGAGGAGAAGCTCACCACGAAGCCGGGGACGTGGTCGGGGAGGCCAGGGACGGACTAGAGCGAGACGGGGCCGGGGACGTGGTCGACGTGGTCGGGGAGGACGACAGCGATGTACAACGACGAGGCCACGCATAGGAAGAGACGGCGAGAGGTGGTTGCTGCTCGTCGGCGAGGTGGATG